GAACCGGCCGGCCGCGGGCTGCGGGGCGCGGGAGACCCGCATTCCGACACAGGGGGCCGGCCTGGCCGCCGCCGCTCGCCCGACCCGGCGCGCCGCAAGTCCGGGCGGCGAGGTGCACCTGTTCTTCAGCCGGCCCGCAGCCAACCCTCGGCCAGCACTCTCTCAGAGAGACCAATCCGAGCGCAGCGCGGAGGGCGAGCGGCCGGGCTCGCTGCGCTCCCGCCTGCGGCTCGCGCCGTCGCCGCCCGGCTCAAACTCCGGCGAGCTGCGCCGCCGCCGCCGCCGCCGCTGCGAGCCCGGGGCCGGGGCGCACGGGGCTTTCGCGGCGGGTGCTCTGCCACCCGCCGCCGAGGGAACCCAGCAAGCCGCAGTGGATTCGAAATCACGCCCCGGCGCCGCTGCCCGGTCGCGCTTGGGGAGATGAAGCGGGAGACCGCGTCGGGAATTCCGGGCGACGCGGACCCGGGTCAGAGGCAGCTCTCGGCGGGCTCTGGCATCCGGGCGGGTGCAGTGTGAGCCTGGCCGCCGCGGTCGGGCTGGGCTTCAGGCAGAGTAGCGCCTCCCACCACCGCCTAATGATGGTTTCTTAATGCGCACAAGATAAATAAGCGATCCAAGCAAACCCCCGCTTGGAAGTGTGTGGCAAAAGCAGCTGTCAACCGACTGTGAGTCCATCTCTGGTGCGGATGCAGTGGGGTCAGAGACTGACGCTGCGGGGCAGGGGAGCGGGGGCGTGTGCGCGTGGGAAGGTGTCTGCACTCCCCGGTCTGATGGAGGTTGCTGTTGGATGAAGAGCCGCGTTTCCCTCTGAGTCCCTGAAAGATGCTGGTGAAGCAGATGATCTTGTTGCAATTAGACTTGGCAGATAGCCCCAAGCCTATTTATGATAACTTACCTTAAAAAAAAAAGTACTGTCTTTAAATGTAGATGTACTCATAGGCACACGAGTCACAAGGCAACTGATTGTGAGAGGTAAAATTTAAAACGATTTTGGATGGTATCCAAAATTCTGTTGCTGGTTTCTTCCCTTGGGAGAGAGACACCTGTGTTCCTATTTCTCAGGTGCAGTGTGGGAGCTGCCTGGGGGACAGGGCGAGGAAGGAAGGGATAAAGAACCAGCATCAACCATGCTTTATTCTGATGGTGCAAAACCTCGTTTGTCAACTCCCCTCATATTGCCCGGTCCAAAGTGGAAACCGGAAAGACGTTTTTATTTACAGGCTCCGAAAATGAGGGGTTTGAGGAGGTGGGCCTCCCAATACACCTCCCCAGCACTGTATAATTGGCGCGGATGATGGAACCACCATTCTCTTGTCCTGTAGCATCTCCACAATGATAAAGTTTTTTAAGGTATCCATTTTATTCCCTGAAAGGACTGCAGAGAGCTGAGGATGCATTGAAAAGGGAAGCCTCTGGGATTTGGTGCCGACCAAAGTATTTTGCACAGACACGGCTAATAAATTATTTTTGATGGCAGTAATGCGGCTGTCACCTCTGTCAGCTATATAACATTGAGACTTTCCCCATAGGAAAGCTTTTGATTTTTAGTTTGCTAGAACGTGCCCTAATCCAGTAATGCTGAATTATGATTCCAAAAATTGCAAGTGAACAAAATACCACAAACCCTTGAATCTATATTCCTTCAGCTTTCCAATGCCAGGCACAGTCTTCTTAAGTAAAAAATTAACCTAATCTTTGCCTTCTGTAGGCTCTGGGCAGTTGCTGGCCAGCCTTTTCTGTATAGCAAGTAAAAGTTAGCTTTCACACTACATGTCTAATTATATAGTGGAATTGACTTTTCCAAAACACTCCTACTTCATCCCCCCTCCCTACCCCCATTATTCCTGTGGCCTCTGCCATCTTCATTCTCCACTGAAATAAATCCAGTGTAAGAATCAAGTACCTTAATGGAGCAGCTGGGCAAATGCTCCCCTGAAACTGCGTTCACACAGTGTTCACCCCACATGGTCTGTGCTCAATGTCTTCTTCGTCTACCTCTCCAAATTCCCTAGGCTTCTCATTTGCGCTTGGCTTTAACAACTTATTCATTGTTCCCTGTTGAGCTCATTTTCTCCCGGATCCCAAGCCACTGCACTTGACTGCCCATTAGCTGTTCTCACAGTGAATATCATCACTAGAGGGAAAGAAACAAGAGCCCACTGCATTGGGGAGCAGGTTGTACCAGGCCATCCAAGAAAGTTTGGCTGGTACAAGCATCATTAATTTGCAGTTTTATTATGAAGCTCCCTGGCCGCAGGTGGTAAGCACTAGAGCTGGAGTTGTGGGGTTGGGGGCGGGGGTGTCCACAGCTGAATCAAGGACAAATGGTGGACATTCTTGCTACCAATGAGCAGCCAGATGTCAGTCCCATGGTAAGGAGGAGTCACCGTCTGGTGACTCACAGCTCTCTGGTTCAGAATGCTGGAGAGCTTCACATTCAGACTTTGAAGACAGGGATTCAAGTTAGAGCTCTGCCCTTTATAAGCATTAAAGTGACTTTGGGCCTCTGTTTTCTGACCTGTGAAATGAAACTATAATACCTACATTCTACATAATTATATGAAATGGTATTGCTAAATGGACTATTCACCTATGGTACCTTTTAAACGTCTTATCACATGCCTTCCTATGGAAAGGGGTGTGGATTTTTCTAACAAATGGGCATGACATACTTCAGCCTCTCCTGAATATCCGCCAGAATACAATCAGCTTCTGAATGTCTCCCATGCAATCCACTAACATATTAACCTCAGAATTTCTAATTATTGCTTATAGTTTTCCCACACACCAGCATTTCTACTGAATTGCAGTTTTTCCCTTCAGTGGCACCAATATCCCCAAGCTAGGGAGTCTCAGTTCCATCTCTGACTCTTTACCTTTCGTACCCCAAGTTCAATTAGTTGTCAGCGTTCACAATACGATATGACTGTTCTGGTTTCCCTCCATTGTAAGTTCTTTGGCAAAGGTCCATCTTTAGAACCACAAGGCTGGAAGTGAACTTGGTGGCCACGTACCTCTATTGTGCCATCCCCAAATAGCCCCAGCCCAGCGGTCATCTGGGTCCAGCTGGAGCTTTAGAAACGACATCACTTCCTGGAGGAGAGCACCCAGCCTCTTAACAGCATACATAATTACAATAGAAAAGTCTGTGTTGAGCCAAAAATCTACCTTTTCATATTTTCACCCTTTATTCTTAGCCCATTAAAGGTATAAACCTTTCATGAACTAGCTGTCAGGCACAGACAATACAGTCTAAAACAAAACAAAGCTCCACACCTTCATGAAACTTATGTCTTAGTAGGAGATATGGACAGTAAAAAAGCAAACAAAACAGATAAATTACATAATCTATCAGAAAATGAAAATTGCTGTTTTGGACTACAAAGAACATCCCTTTTGGCTGTGATTATACAGGACATCTCTTCTTCAATCCCAATATACCCAATCTATTTACCATCCACGTGAGGACCTGACACTGCTAGGAGTACCAGGATGCTGTTTTATTAGCCATGGGTCCCCTGGGTACATGTGGTTACTACAGAAGCCAGTCTGGCCTGCAGAATCATAATATCCTTCATAACATTTTTTATAATATCCACTGGAATCGTGTGTAGGCAATATGATATCTCAAAACATTTCGCAAAGTAAACACTTTACAAAGTGTTAATGAGGTTAGCCTTCTCCCAGTGGTTGCATATTCCTTATTCTCTCTTGGTTCAGTCCACTACTATTATAATATACATGTTTAATAGTAAATCACAGTGGCCTTTTTAAAAGAGATGAAGATTGTTTTCTTCATTGGTCTCAACAAGTAATCTTATTTATTTATTTCTTATGGGCAGTTGATATCTTATATATAGAACCCACCCAAAATGTACTGAAAAAACCCCCAGGTGGGTGTGTCTGTTCCCATCTTGATTCCAACGATTTGTGCATTGTATCTCAATGTCATAAGTAAAACAAACACTAAAATTTACAAATTCTACAGAGCAAAAAACTCACACCGGAAAGGGGACAAATTTCATATCCTAGTCAAGATGATTATAACAATGTTCAGACTTAAAGTATTTGGAATGTCACCTAACTGCAGTGTCATAAAATAGGAAATGCTGAAAGCCATATAACAGGCTGTAAAATTGGAAGTTTTGAATGAGGCACTAAGACAAAACAGATGTGAAATTTCAGTGGGAGTTGCCAGAAGACAATACCGAAGTTTCAAAATAGGTTAACTAAGAACTGAGTAGATGGCACAACATACTGGAGAACAAAGGAGGATTTCCTTGGCGGAAGCTGTGCTCTGAGTTCAGAGGAACAGGAGCATGCGTACAAAGCCTTCTTACACCAATATAGTGAGAGAGGCCTAAAAGGAGTGACCTTGTGATCTCAGTAGGGGACCCCTAGAGTCTGACCCGGCCTCATTGGACTGGGATAGACACACAGCCTCAGGAATCACAAGTCAAGGAGATGGCTAAAGTGGATGGTGGCAGCAGAGAGCGCTTTAAGCACCTGCCATGCCAAGAAGGCATGAAGCCACACTACAGCAGTGAGAA